GAACCCCAAAACCTAAACCCTCAATCAGAAGCCTACGTAAATTCTAAGTATGATCATGCCCTTATGGTCCCTATAGATCTATGCCATAATATACACCATTAGCTCCTTCTGTCTTCGAAGCAAGGATTCCTGTAGCCCTTTGCCCAAGACACCCCGACGCGATATAGACTCGGGCAACATACACCCCACCGTTGTGTGCATGTTTACAATTTCCTGTATACTTACCTATGAATGTTCAAACACCTGTATATATATATATACACCTCTCTCTGTGTGTGTGTCTCTCTGATTCTCTCTGTATATATATATATATACATATGTATATGTATATGCATAGTTGCCTTTCGTTGGATCTGTCGATGTTCATTTAGTCATACATACATGTCTATATATATGTACACATGCATATACATGCATATACATATACTCACACTTTACTTAAACTCCATGGGGACATGTGGGGCAGTGTAGGGACTATAGATGCGATATTGTACCGTTGGCTGACAAACTGCATTACATCATTGGGCACAGTACCCAAACCTGTGGGAGCTAGTGCCTTTTCCTTGATTGGTCACTGCAGCACACATGGATCCGCATGGCTTCACGATACACTCTGACATGACTCCGGAACGCCTTCTTGATTCATCACTGGCAAAACCCGTCAACGCTGTGCAGCCTGAAAACTAGCATCCCTGAGAACCTGCCAACACCCTTTGACACTCTCAAATCCTAAACCCTCACGCAAGGACGAGGAGCAATGTTCACCTGCATCACTCGCGCATCGAAAGTGGCAGAAAAGAACTGACGCACTCGATCCTCTCTGATGAGGGTTTTGGATTTTCATTACCCTTGCGCAAGCTCCACTTGCTAAACTCAGTTCTGATTTGATATGAGTTTGCGCCATTGGTATAGCACTTATATTTTCAAGGTTTATGGGGGAACCAAGCCCGAACATGGTCTTTGATGTCAACCCCTGATTCCCTATTCATCAACCTCCGCACCTCAAAGAAACATTGGGCTTATGGTTTAGGTTTTAGGGTTTAGTAAGTATAGGTGGGATACCCTCACTCATTGAGGTTACTTGTCAACGTAAACTTGCCTGGCTTGCTAAGTCCTGTGACCGGTCTCAGGCCAGGAACCCGAAACCCTTACTGCCCAATCCTAAACCCCTAAACTCTAAACATAAACTCCTTAACAACCATGCACCCTAAACCCTAAACCCAACAAAACAACGACACCTAAACCCTCAAACCCCAACCCTGAACCGAGGTTCACTGGCTTCCATGCCTTGCTTCAAGCTTGCTCATGCCTTACAAGTGGGGCTTAGAGTTTCAGGTTTTAAACACCCAGTGCAAGTACAAGTCAACAGATACACAGAAAGCTACTTACTGATTTACTACATCCTAAATCCCACTTGCGAAGTCCTTTACCCTCTCATGAAACACTATGGAACCCTTATCGATCCCCACAAAAAACCTCAACCCTGATCCTTTCAGTAGGTTCAGGGTTCAGGGTTTAGGG